ACCGTCCTCTTTTCCCTGGACATGTCCACTTTTCACATTCTGGGGACGTCCGGGGTGATTTTCGAGATTGATAAAAATGTCCAGGTTTTCCAACAGAGGACCCATGTGTATGTATGATGTCATCCCTGAACTGCTGCTTTGTGAGTTGTTGTTCTGCGCTCACAGACGGGACAGAGCGCGCAGCAACACACCTAATGATGTTTAAAAGATCCCAAAGTGCAAGTGCATCTTTTCAGATGAACTGCAAAAGAAATTTCCCTCGTACCGACCCAGTACTGGTAGTTTTTCTTATGCAGATGAGGCCTTATTTCTGTACCATTATTTAATTCCAGAGGCTTTTAAGTTATTTGTTTGCTCTTGTTGACTTGTAAAAGCCTATATGACATTTTTGTTTCACCATTCATTAACTGCACAGAGAAGGCATCGTTTAAATATGTTAAATATGTTTCTTTAAGCAAGTTCTTCATGACTGGGCCAAGTGTCCTCTTTTTTGGAAATCAAAGTATGGTCACCCTACCACAGGTGTATCTACACTGCAGAAGCCTCGGTATGGTCTCATATATACGACCAATAAGACAAAAGAAGTCCAGCCATGTGATGAAATTTATTTCAGTGTGTCTACAATGGCCTGTGTGAGCGAGGGGAGAGATTGTGTGGTCTGCTCTGTCCAGCAGAGAAGTGTGTCAGACAGCATGCCTCTTCAGCTCCGTCAAGCTCAGCCCAGTGGGACCGATCACAGACGAGCGCCTCACATCTTATCTCTACCTGGCTGAGAATAGAGTGTGTGTGAGAGGAGGCTGCCCTTTCAGAGCCTGTTGAATGGTCAGAGTGCTGGCAGCCAGCAGGAGACTGAAAGAGAGAGAAGAGCCAGTCATCACTTTACTTCTGCTCTGAAATAGTTGAACGGTGTTGCACCAGTTCGTCCAGCATAGGATGGGCTGCAAGCAAAGCAAAGAAAGTAAAATCTTTAGGTTTGTCCGTACTGGCGATTAAGTGAACCTTTCACTCCCCGCGTACACACAGACTCACACTTAACAGTGGAGTTGTGTCACGGTCTCACAGGAGTTGCTAATTGCAGTAGAGACGACAGATGAGCTCATATTCTCTGGAGACCAGACACTGAAGTGCATGGAAAAAGATTCAACAGCAAAGCATCTGCTTTAACATGAAAGCCATGAGGAAGCTAATAGAATGATAAATAATAAAATTGTTATACTTTAATAATTTTATATTCTAGTTGTTGTGTCAGTGAGTTCTCAGACCACACCCATCTTTTTAAAGATTTATTTAAATATTTAAATAAAAATACTTCATAGGAGGAGATATAAATGAGTTGCGAATTGAAAAGAAATTAGGACATGAATCTAAGTGGCAATGGTCTCTTAGCTCTCCTTTGTCCCGTGTGCATCCATTTACATGATAACAGACATGGCGTCTTCCTTAATCCCCAGAGTCTGAGTGTGTCATAGCCAACCAAGCTGTCTTTGTGTTGCTCTTTAACTAACAGCTGTTTTTGCTATCCATACAAACTGCTTGTGTGTGTGCATATTAGTTAATGAAAATATGTTGCGGTAATGAGTGAGTTTCAGCTCTTAGATACACTTTTAACTTAAAAAGCTATGTTAGCTATGTCCATTTGTACCCTTTATGCTAAGCTAAGCTAACTAGCTCCTAGCTAGCGACATTGCTCGCCTCGACGACTCTTTGCCAAAAAAGCTGTACAGTTTGCTAAACACAACCAACAAAAAATTTTCAATTATCACCAAAGTTGTTTGCAGATAAAATTTTAAAATTTTATGGTTGAGGGTTTTGTGAGTTTATCAGAAAGAACTGCTAAATTTAGCAGACAGACAACATAAAATGATCAGAGTAACAGGAAGTATGCGACTAAAGACCTGTCTGATTAATTCCAACTGTATTTTTAATATAAATATTTGACAGCCGTCACGTGAAAACATCTACACAAATCCACTTGAAAGCGGTCTTCATTGTGTCATTTCAGCACTGCTAAATGGAGAATCTGGACAAAGTTGAGGAGCTGCTCAGCCAGTAATTGGCTTTGCTGAGAAGACAGCTTCCTCGTGATCACAGGCACACTCACACAGTCTATGACAGCTATACACAAACACACCCACACACACACACAGACATGTTTCTGCAGACATGCTCTGAAACAGAAAAATGAAAAGCATCCGAGAGCAACAAAATCTAAATATAAAGCTATTTTCTGTTGCTGTCTTATACACAGCCACCACAGCGTGTTTGATTTGGGAGTTTTGTACACTGATTGGCCTTCTTGACACAACCCCAATGGGGATTTGTGGCTCTGGCTGGAATTAAACCTGTGACCGCTTGCTTGCCACTATAGTACTTGTACAGATGCATAAAATATGGATCCATGTATTTACACCTTAACTGTAGCCTGGCGTCTTCCTCCTGCTGCAGTGTTTGTTTGTTAGATAGCCAGCAGCTTTGAGCAGACTGAGTGAGAGGGCTACTGATGCACAACGAGAGCCTCTGTGTTCTTTTTCTTAGTTTTTTGATTTGTCTGAGAATGATAGAGAAGGTGCGGTTGAACAGCAATGCCCAAGTACCGAGTGGTTGCCAAGGTAACAAGCTTTAGGTGTCAAAGTAAGACAAATTGGGGACTTTTGTTTTCCACGTGAAAACACAAATACCTCCATTGAAACCACCAAGGTTAGAGATGCTGTTGTTGTGAGCGTGTAGATATTAATAAGTGATCCACGTCTGTGCATTAAAACAGAAGCTGCGTGCAGCCGAACACTTTGCTGGTCTCTTTGCTGTTCGGTTGTTCTGCTGTGGAGTAAACAGCAGCTCAGAGCCATGGTGTCATTTTCCAACCACAGTTTGCAGGAAGCGATAGAGGGCTGTAGTGGTGGATACGGCGCTTCATTGTGTGTGTGTCTACGTGTGTTTGTGCACCCTGCTGTGGACTTCCCAGAGTGATGTTGGGTTGCCTTGGTTACCTCATCCGGTCAAAACCCAGGATGTTAAGTGTGGCTCAAGAGCAGCCGTCAGATTTGAACACACACACTTGGGTATTCATCCATAACCAGGACATATGCTCCGATTGGCTTTTGTGTCCCTCTAGACTTTGTTAATTGGGTAAAGGTGCTTAAAGGAGATCTGGTGCTTCCAAATGAATCCTCCGGATCACTCTGAATAAATGTTATCTGTCATTCAGGATCGTTTAGGGTAGCAGGAAGCTGTAGCTTTATCTAACACTCTACAGTTATCATAGAAGTTGATGCTTCCATGTTCAAAAAAACATCTACTACTTATAATTGGACTTTAGTTTCAGTCAGGACCAGTATTTGGTAGTATGGCTCTAATCAGGGATACCGTTTTCATACTTGGAATGCATGCAAAGTCGGGGAGAAGGAGAAGCTTGAATGGATGAACCGTGTAAAATTGCAAAATCACTTTTTTCCATCTGACATACAGAAAATCCAGCTAAAAATGTCTTTAGATGAGATCAGTCCAGCCATTATTTCCCCACTTATCCCGTTCAGGGTTGCAGGCGTACTGAATCCTGAGCTGTTACGGAGTTAGAGGCAAGGCCAACCCAGAGAGCCCTGCCTGTCTTTGACTGTAGAGGGGAGCCCACATGCACCCAGGAACAACACGCAAACTACACACAAAGGCCTCAGACTACAGCTCTTTAGATGAGATGTTAGATTCTGGGTTTTTTGGCAAGTCAAAATTATAAGCGAGTCATCGATTTTATGGTATTTTTAATTTGATAGTTGTTTTGATCTGTGTTGTTCAGCACTTTGGTCTGCCTGGTGTGTTCTTAAAGTGCTATACAAATAAACGATGATGATGATGATCGATTGGAGGTCTCCTGGAGAAATTTGAATTTAATACCTCATTGTTTGTGAAATCCTGGCTCGAGCCCTGCAGCCATGCAGCACCACTTTTATTGTTTGGGTTGGCCATCGCATCAGGATTTGCTCAGAAAGAAAGAATCAAGAAACTAAGAACACTCTGTTTGTTGGTTACTGATCACCTGTGTCTTCTTTCCTTTCCTCTGCAGAGCTTGTGTTATCCTGGGTGTGGTTTTCATCCTGTCCTCCTTATGCATTATGGGTAAAGCCATCCACGATCTGGCCACCAAACTGCTACCAGAAGTGGTAAGAATTCATCCATCACACTGTTCTGGGTTTGTTTTTAGACAGATTTGTGAGGATTATAATCTGACTGTAAAAAGAGACCAATTCTGCAGAGCACCATGCTTTAATTGTTACACTTATTGCACAAAAAGCAGCGGATGAGACAGGATAATAGTAGATTAGTTTACTACCACATGCTGATTTTCCTACATGGTAGGCAGGACATGGCTCTGGCTGAGATGCAGGGGTCAAACTGGATTCAGACAGAAGATGGACGAGAGCTTTGGATTAAGCGGCTTCCATATGGGATGCATAATTCATTCAGGGGAAACCCCCTAAACATACTAACATACTGCACACCGTGGCAGCTGTATTACCCACAGCCACGTTCATCTCCCTGAACTCAGGCTGCCAAAGGTTTAGTGTGTAATCAGATTTTTCTGTGGAATTTGCAGTTATTTTTAAAGCTTTGATAGATAGTAACCGCTCCTGTGTCTGGCCAGGACCAGGGCTCTGCTGTCCCTGGTGTAGACGGCGAGCCAGAGACGGGGATTTCATTTAGAAGCTAAGAAAAGACCAGCTGACTTTGCTCCCATATCTAATAATATCTTTACAAACAACATGCAGGATGTTTATTTGCATGAAGCCGTGTGTAGCATGGCTGACTCTGACTCCATCTTTGAGTAGTGGATCTGATTGGACGGCATACTTTCATCTTTGGTTGGTAGCTCAGGATGATGAGACCAAGACACATAGAGGAGGGTGTTATGAACACAGAGATGCTATTGAAGATGAAATGTTAGGGACTCAAAAATGTATTGAGATCGTTTGGTTTTAAATATTTTCTTTTCTTCAGTGTTGCAGTAGATGCTGTGTGGTCATGTAGATGATGCAGTCGGACAGCGTGTGTTGCAAAGTCTACAGCTCTGATTTATGATTGTCTTTTATTTCCAGTGATCAGGTTAAAAATAGACTTACCTTTATTAATTTATTACTTTCCTGTTACTCTATATCACCTGTGCAATTGCAAGGTAACAATGTAACAAATACCTGTTCTAAAGATAGGAGGAGGAGATGCGTGTTTTCTCTTTTATGTCCTTTCAGCACCTTTTACACACAAATGTTGTGATGACAGATTCTAATGTAGGAATCGTGCAATGCTGCTGAAGTAGTTATGTGTATTTTGGCAAACATGAAATAATTTTTGTAGGTAGATGATAGTGAATGTTAAAAAAGTATATTTCACTGCAGTCCACACTGTGTGCATCTGAAGTGAGATCGTTTTTATGGTTAAAATATTGAAGACTAATGTGACTCTAAATGTGCACTTTTGGAGAATAAAGTAAAGTGACTACTTTACTTTATTCTCACAAAAAGACCCTACACCACCGGGCAGAACATGTTCCCTCTAAGCCTGAAGGGAAAAAGAAGGAACACACACATGTAAAGGAAGCACTCAAAACGTGCGGCTATCCTAAATGGGCGTTC